TACAGATAGTATAGTGATATATAGATATTGTACTTATACACAGATAGTATACTGATATATAGATAGTATACTGATATACAGATAGTATACTGATATATAGATATTATACTGATATACAGATAGTATACTGATATATAGATATTATACTGATATACATATAGTATAGTGATATACAGATAGTATACTGATATATAGATATTATACTGATATACAGATAGTATACTGATTTACATATATTATAGTGATATACAGATAGTATACTGATATATAGATATTATACTGATATACAAAGAATATACTGATATGCAGATTCCATACCGATATAAAGATAGTATACTGATAAATAGATTAGATACTGGTATAGTGTATGTAGATAGTTTACTGATATACAGATAATGTTCGGATAAACAGATAATGTATAGATAAAAAGTTAAATTCTGATATATTTGTTAAGTGATATTCTTATGAATAGTGAGAAGTATATAGTATATGAATTACTATGCTTTTATATAAATACTTATTTATTAATGTATACAGATATACTGCGGGATATAGATAGATAATAGGAGGTCAGAACATATAGAAGTTTAATATGACAGTGTGACGCGCTAACGTGTCTAATCATTATACAAGTTATATCAGCCCTGTATATAGCTAGGTAAAACCTCACTAAATCAGATGATTCCATATAGGACATACGTCCATTACTTACTAGTGCATGTAGTAGCTTACAATGGCATAACCACTTCTAATAAAGAAACCAATCTGCGTTGCTAAACTCATGTGAAATCCCCCAAACATAACGCATATATCAATTTTAATTGAAAATAAATTAAACACGTTAGCATTTCGATGCTATCACAATTTTAGACGCTTTTAATCCTGATTAAAATTTAGATTTTAAACTTATTCATCTCCGCTATATCAAAATTACAAATATAATTAGAAAATATAGGCTTAAAGAACGACATTAGTTTTATCTGTATGAAATGCTTAGTTGGTAAATATAATGGTCAGGATATTCTCTGGGGATATATTTGCACATATAGCTTATATAGAGTTTTTATTGAATATGACTTGTCACCAGGCTGAAGTGGTGATATGTATTTGTATCAATAATGACATTCCGTCATTGCACTGACTTGTACCATTGTGGCCGATGAATGAGTAACTTTCAATAGAATCGTCACACTTCGCGATCCTCTATATACACGATCTTACTAGGCTTTTAAAGATATCTTTTTTTTTCAAAATGAGCGAGTAACTTAACATGAAAATGTATTATATAGAATTCTTTTCACCAAACGCCTTTTATATCAATGTGGTTTTCTTTTAAGTAGCAAATAACATTTAGAAAAAAATCACCATTAGAATTTTCCAATCAATTGTATAGCCCTTTTCAATTCTCGCCAGTAATTTGTGTAGAATTTTATGCCGGTATTTAAATTGTATCAGTAAATCTTGGGGAGAATGAATTCCATATAATACAGTCTCTCACTCCCAAACATCGCCCTTACACTTCAGAATATATTCCTTTTCATTTTCTCACAATGGCGGGGTATGTTTGTCCGCACATTTGAACAGTTGGGATGTAACCCAGGCGTTTAGATGGTAGCCCCGGGACTCGATGTAGGAGCCTGAACCGACCCGGAGATTACACGCGCGGTCCTATTGTTAAGGGTTTTCAATGGAGTATTTCGTTGTGAAATTGCCTTCAAACTTCATGTATATCTGTTGTATACACTTTTCGACCATCGTACGCGGGATTCATATTTGTTAAAATGTTCCGTGTGTTTCAATGGATGTTCTATGTACTTAATTCACGTTACGGAATTCAACTTTAAAATCGTTTACAAGTTTATTGTTTTTATTGATAGCAGCCGAGGTATATAAATCGTAATTCGAGCACACCAACCAAGGTAGGTATATAAATAAATATACGTAGTAGTTCTGTGGATTCTGTTAAATTGTTATGAATTTCAATGGGTGTATTCAAACGACGGAATACATCTTTGTAATGATTTCCAAGTGCATTGTGTATTCACGCAATCTATAAATGTATAAACACGTTGATATTGACTTACCACAATGGAGTACATTTGATATAAACATAGAACTGGAGGTGAATTGAATGCTTTCACTGCCGAGGTCGGCAGAGAAATGGATAGGTGGAGACCAACAATAGGTTCACTTATTGTTATTTGAAAGTTGAAGAAAAGGATCTCAATACTCTTATTAATAGATTTCTAGATATGTAAAGTGGTAAGGTCATACAGTGCCACAATGGAACAGGGTAAACATGGCATCGTGAAGATAAAACCTATGTATGAGGGTCATCTGGGACCAAACCAGACAGCGTGAGCTTACTGATACCATTCTGTGCATCACGTATTAGACATATTGATACTATACGTGTTAAAAGTGTCGGTTTCTATAAGAATGTTTATACGAAGGTTGTATCAGATACAGACATACACTGGATGGTTCTGTTACCGAGGACCAGTTGGATAAACACGCATCAAATTTCCGATACATCTTTGGATTTGGTGAAGTGAATACTCTTTTCTTGGAATTGTGCAAACGGGACCGTAAGAAATGAAATCGGAGTAAGAGAAAATATGTGAAAGTTTCGTAAGGGATATTTATCTTGTATATGAGATATACATCAGCTTGTCTGAAAGTGTACTAGTTCTGGGATCATATTTGCTGGTAATCTTAACGAAATTGGATGTGTTATTTTTCGGATTAAATGAGTGAATCAGGTAAATGCTATCATCATCTTAAGCCTTTGTGTAACGTAATAGCCTTTTGTCTTTCAGAAGGTGTAACGTCACATTCTTTGTCTTTCAACGGATGTCAAAGTCATAGTTTTAGTCTAACAACAGGTGTTACGTCATAAATTCTCTGTGTTTCAGAAGGTGTGACGTCATATATTCTTCGTCTGTCAGTAGGTGTGACGTGATATATTTTTTTTGTCTATCAGTAGGTGTGACGTACTATATGCTACTCTTTGTATACAAGTATATTAGTAGGTGTGACGTCATGTTATATGTATCGGTCAATGTATGTGACGTCATAAAGACTTTGTATATCGGTAGATGACTCTGCAAACTTAACCTGTAATAACGACTTCCCCTAAATCTTACTATACATAGAACCAGACCTCTACACAGTATACCCGTACTGTGAAGTCTTCCTTTAACCTTATTATACACGGGTATGACGTAGTGCCCTTGGCATGGTTCAGTGAGCATTAAGCAGGTGTTCCACATATTTCTACCTCTAAAGAGTCAGTAGACCTTCAACTGTCAATCATCTTCACAGTCACCAACAATGGGTCAAACAAATAGGAGAAAGTGTTCTGTATACGAAACATTCTATACAACCCTACACGTAAGGGAATGTATTGCGTACACAGAGTATACACAGTATATAAATACCCAACTTAATTTAGTTTCTCTCTCTTTGAGATTATGAACGAAGCAACCAACTGGTTTTTAAAATTTTACCTATCATTATACACCGCTCGTCGAGTCGAAAAGAGAATTACATTTTGACATGTGTTTCATGTGGTGATGCCTAATTGGTCTCCTATTTTTTGATCATTCATTTTGATTCTTGTTGTTCTGTACCGAGAACTTCATCATTTAAGTACACTACTTCATAATGGGGAGAGTCTCAGCCGCACTATGGCGTATCCAGGCTTCCGAATTCAGCTTTATAGTCATTTCACTATATATGTAACCTTTCCATTTCTATTGCATATTTGTTCAGATTTAATACATATCTTGTACCCTGTAAAATACACAGTTATGGAGTTATGGCTCCTGCAATGTTCAGTTCTTAAATTCATCTGCTTTAAATCGTCCTTACATATGAGTTGATATATGTAATTTTTGTAATTATTCACACCAGGAATCTGTACATGATGAAGTCTATCTTACATCACTTCCGGTCTATTTTGTCATTTCAGTTATCCTTTCTTTTCAGTCAAATCTTCTTTCTCCTTCACTTCTATTGTCTTTCGTGGTCTTTAAGAAAAAACGTGTATCACATTAACATATTAAATCATCCCGCCTCATTGTTAACCAAAACAAAAATGGTTGTAATGAGAGGCCGTGTGAACGTGCTATAAACTCGTAACACGTGACCTGGACGTCTTCATTTTCTTTATGTCTTTGCCGATAACTAATTTACTAGAAAGTTTTGTCAAGTTTTCGCGTTTTGACCTTTCTGACGCTTTCACGGTGTGGAGGGTATTTGTTTGCGTTTGTATACAGGTGAGAAATATGTGGTCGGGTGGCGCAACACTTGCCTTTCACCAAGGCAGCTGGGGATTCCCCGATCGGACGTGAAAAGGTACGGGGCACCTGTCCGACCACATGGGTTTTCTCCGGTTTCTCCGGTTTCCTCCCATATCAAGATCCACCGCGCGCTATCATCCGCAAGAGTGATCGATATAAGTTGCAAAAACTTGTTTAATAATTGATGTTGAAGAAATAAAATTATATTTAATATTTGTGAAATATATTTCATAGTGTGTCACTATGTTCTCGCGTGTTGGGCTGTAAATAAAGCATGTCAATATGTTTATTCGCGCATGTTTTTGCGTTTAGTAAACGTAAAATATGTGAACATTTCAACGCCTTCTAATATAGTCTCCAAGTCTAAATGTGAAAAAATGTGTTGAAAGTTAGAAATGATGAATGTGCCGGTAAATCATAGCTACTTGTGTATGTCATACTTACTACATCGAATCAATTAGATTACTATAATGAAAACGTCTTCAAGCGTTTCCTTACTAACTTACACTTTTCCTTTTCGTGTGTATAACCTATGTTCGTTTTGCCTTGGTAGATTTGTAAAGCTGTACATCTCAATAAGGTCGTCACAATGCCTAGACATGATGAAAGAATGTTTTTACGACATGAAAATCCATGACTTTGTATTCAAACTTGTATCCTTCTTTTAAAAATCACCATTTTTTCTTCTCTTTTCAGAATAAGATCCCATTCTGCATTCATCGCTGGAAAAAACTTTTCAAACGAAAGGGATAAACTGGGTTTATGGATACCGAAAGAGAATAGAAGATATTGTTACTTAAGATGGTTACATTCTATAGTCAAGGTGTATTATTGCTTAGCTAAGTTGGATGGTAAAGAAATGCGAACAATGGCCGGGAATACCTACCCTACCGAAGGAAGGTGACATATACAATAGGGCCTGTTTTAATTTCAGTATTTATTCAATAAAATAGAAAAATGATATCCCCTGGGTGTTTTTAACCATATGCTTATAAAAGCCATGGAAGAGGGCTGCATTATGTGAAGAACGTTTCACACGCACAAAAAGATGTGAGTGAAAAAAGACAGGGTTTGAATGATGGCGTCTGTGTATATGGCCATTGTGGAAAGGGAAGTTGGATGACAGACTGGAGCACACAATTATGTATTGTACACAAGTTTTGTGAGTGTATGTTGACGATGTTAAGTGTTCAGAACCTCGCCTAAACAGCAAACGTACAGGTGAAACAGGATTAGTAGTCCAGACTTTGATGGAGAGAAATAGCCGTGGATTAGAAAAAAGCTGTGGATTAGAAAAAAGATGTGGATAATATCAAACCTAGATAAATGTCTGTTTCTTACAAAAGATGTGGATTAGAAAAAGTTGTGGATTGTAACAAACCTAGATAAATGTCTGTTTCCTACAGAAGATGTGGATATCTGTATTTAAGAACATTGGCGGTGATGACAAGGAAATGATGTACCTACCTTGGCGATGATATTCATATCACATTTATTTTCTTAGCCAGCTGGATTACTGAAACGGACGTTTGAAGGAGATAGATGTCATGGAGTTCATTATGGTCCATCAGTTTCTCAAAAACGAAGAAGATGACAATGCTACCAACCATCCGAGTCAAAACTTTCCCAGCCTGATTAATCATATTGTGTTAAAATCCCATCGTATTTGGGATACAGGAGACACACTCAAGAAGGCATGACATATTTGATAAGTATACCATCGGTGAACGTCTTGTTTTTAATTATATCTATTGTATGAGGAATAATCAGTAATTTCCAGATGGATTTATTTTCAAAGACAAGAAGATTGTGAAACAAAATGAAGTTATCGATTCTCACGTAATGGATAAATGCTATGTTCGATCAGCTGAACGATGTGGAATACTTACTGCAAACCAATATATGTGGTGTGATTTATCATGTGAGATGTGGAATGCTAAGTATATGATGCATTATCTGGAATACTTACAACAAATGATGTATATGATGTGGAATATGGAATATTTGCTACAAACCATTATATATGGTGTGTAATGTGGAATACTTACTGCAAAACATTATATATGATGTGGAATATGGAATATTTGCTACAAACCATTATATATGGTGTGTAATGTGGAATACTCACTACAAACCATTATATATGGTGTGTAATGTTGATTACTTACTGCAAAACAATATATATGATGTGGAATATGGAATACTTATTACAAACCATTATATATGGTGTGGAATATGGAATACTTACTACAAACCATTATATATGGTGTGTAATGTGGAATACTTACTACAAAACATAATATATTGTGTGGAATGTGGAATATTTGCTACAAACCATTATATATGGTGTGTAATATGGAATACTTACTACAAATGATTATATATGGTGTGTAATGTGGAATACTTACTACAAACCATTATATATGATGTGTAATGTGGAATACTTACTACAAAACATAATATATTGTGTGGAATGTGGAATACGTACTACAAATGATTATATATGGTATTTTATACGAGGATCAGTGTGCAGATGTGTGTTATTATTCATTGGGATTTACGTCGTGTACAAGGAGAGACTGGGCTGAATCTGAAAGGTAAGTTGATGATTACAACAATAATTGTATTTAGCAACATCAGCATCAGTAACAACATCTAAAACGATTGATAAAGCAGCTCCCGAAACATTAACCACGCCCAATAAAACATACAAAAATATGACGAGGATGGTTATGAATAGCGCAGATAGCACCGGGTAAATAATCTCATCCTAAAAATAGGCAATGATGTTTATTTTGATGTCGCACATATATCAATTGAGTTAAAGTATCCGTTGTTTTCATCGCTGCCATCGTTGTCTTGTATATGAGATATATATTTATTAAATACATCGTTACATTATAACGTTATTCTTCGTAAACCAATTAGACTTGAATATGAATGCAGGCACCAAAACTGTTATCTCTACCTCTCAGTAAAGATGTCGATTTAACATTAGTATCGCATTGGAACATGAACAAATATGTCTGATATTGATACAAAATAACAGATTAAGTAATGAGAATACAAACAAATGATGAGTGAGTAATGAATAAAACGATGGAATAATGAATCAAGAACTCAGTGCATTAATAACTATACTTACAGACTAATGGATGAATGAACGAATCAATGAATAAATGAGTGAATGAATGAATATTACTGAATGTAACGAATAACAAAAATGATTGATTGATTTTGTTTTGTATTTTTGAATGAATGATTTGTGAATAAGAAAATGAATGAATGCATGAATCAATCAATCAATGAGTCAATCAATGAATCAATAAATAAATCGATCGAAGATTTATAAACAAATGACAAAAGACAGATAATGGGAAAATATGTAAATTCACTGTAAGTCGTTTATAAAGGATACAGGGTTTACGTCGCCCTTTATTCCATACTTAAAAAACCCCACCAAATATTAAAAAAAACACGTTGAAAGTGTAAGACAGATGTCTTCATATTACTTAAGTTATTTCATAGGAAAGTTATGTAGGTGTGTAGAAGTCAAAAATGTCTAGCATATGTTTGTTACTTACAACAGAACAATGTCTAACATATGTTTGTTACTTACAACAGAACAATGTCTAACATTTGTTTGTTACTTACAACAGAACAATGTATAACATATGTTTGTTACTTACAACAGAACAATGTCTAACATTTGTTTGTTACTTACAACAGAACAATGTCTAACATTTGTTTGTTACTTACAACAGAACAATGTCTAACATATGTTTGTTACTTACAACAGAAAAGTGAAATAAATCTGTCTTAAGACATCAGGAATACATTACATTTGTTAGTTACTTATAACAGAAAAGTGAAATTAATATGATTTGAGACGTCAATAACACATTACACATATTAGTTACAACAGAAAAGTTAAATAAAATCTATATTTAGACGTCAAGAATACTCATATTAGTTACTTTAAACAGAAAACTGAAATAAAATATGTATTCAAATGTCAGGAATACAATACATATGCTAGTTACTTATAACAAAAATGGAAAAAGTCTGTTTTAGACGTCAGGAAAACATATTTTAGTTACATAGGAAAGTTAAAGTCAGCTTGTCGGTATGTAGGTGTAACAGGTCCTCGCAATATAAACAATTTCTGAACATTAAATGTATCGACCGTGCTTGACGTTTAGGTTAGTACAAATCTAAATCCATTATTGGTTTTAATACAACGTCTTTTATAAAGATTTCCTGTGAGTTAACAATACAGTCAAATTTAACAATTGGTTATACAGACATACCGAGTTGTATAAACACTTTGAGGTCCACTGATATAAATATCAGGCCCGTTATCTTGTTTATAATCTAATCGCACTATCAGTCTGTGTTGGGAACATATTGTGTCATTACCTTACAAGTTTATGTACACAGATATTAACAAACTGATAATGAAATGTCATGTTTTTACGTAAATTATTTTTGTAATTTTTCTGGATAAATCGTAACAAAATAGGATATGTTTAGATTCAAAATGTTCACAATAACGCAATAAAATTGGTACAATAAATCATTTTAAATGTTCGTTTGAAAATATATATTTTATTATAAACATCCTTGTGTGACAAACATAGAATTCTTTATCCAGAAGAGAGGCAGGGCCCCCTTGTTAATACGTCAGATTTAGCGCTGGACAGCTTGGCATATCACCAGCCGTTATTGTTACCGTAACATATGCAGGTCCCCTAACTTATCAGGCTCTACGTTTAATTCTTCTATAGGCAAAGAGGCCTGGACATAAAAGCCCATTGACTCTCTCGTCGGTGGTCATTGTATTCTGTTGTTTTCGCTGTGAATGCACAACCGTACAAGCCGCTATTTAGCTATCATGTTTCAATCGTCGCGAAAGAAGCCTTTTTATGTCAATAGATTTTAATTCAAGCTAGATGAATTCCAGCGTATTCAGGAAAAGAAAAGAGCTTTACCGACAAATTTATAAAGAAAACTAAAGACTATTAAAATGTCCATTCTATTCCGTTTTATATGCCTTTTCTATAGTATTCTTTTCATAGCAGGCAACCGATACATGTTCTGAATGTTTCGTAGATTAACCATACACTTAGTCAAAAGGTATATTTACACTATAGCGCGATATTACAACAATTGTCCTGGCCGTATCCGCCACAACTCTAGCTAGCCTTACACCGACTACTGGGGATATATATAACAGAACATTTCATTACTTGGGATTTATGTGATATTCTGGATGGAGCAAACATATTCTCGACAAATGATCTCCAATTCTTGTAGGTAGGTGGTCATATTTTCCTATATTCCTTCAGGCAGTGAATGTGTCTTTTAAATTCAAAGACTCTGTTTAAAAGACACCAAATGTGCAAGTCAAACGTCAGATAATTTATTGAGTTTTTTTAAAACCAAACCATATTGTATAAGCATTCACATGTACAGAATTATTGCTAAGGGCTGTCTTATCACTTCAAAAACTGCATGCATAAAAATCCTATACTGAAACAAAAGTAAACTTACTCATTAACTGACGTCCTGTGTTATGTATTAGACTAGACACTCTTACTCATTAACTGACGTCCTGTGTTATGTAAAAGACTAGACACTCTTACTCATTAACGGACGTCCTTTGTTATTTAAAAGACTAGACACTCTTACTCATTAACTGACATCCTGTGTTATGTAAAAGACTAGACACTCTTACTCATGGATTAGACACTCTTACTCATTAACTGACGTCCTGTTTTATGTAAAAGACTAGACACTCTTACTCATAGACCAGACACTCTTACTCATTAACGGTCGTCCTGTGTTATGTAAAAGACTGGACACTCTTACTCATGGATTAGACACTCTTACTCATTAACTGACGTCCTGTGTTATGCAAAAGACTTGACACTCTTACTCATTAACTGACGCCCTGTGTTATGTAAAAGACTAGACACTCTTACTCATAGACTAGACACTCTTACTCATTAACTGACGTCCTGTGTTATGTAAAAGACTTGACACTCTTACTCATTAACTGACGCCCTGTGTTATGTAAAAGACTAGACACTCTTACTCATTAACTGACGTCCTGTGTTGTGTTAATGACTAGACACTCTTACTCATTAACTAACGTCCTCTGTTATGTAAAAGACTAGACATTCTTACTCATTAATTGACTGTGATTTTGTAAACAAAATGTGAAAACACCAAAGCAATGTTAGAGAAAGCCATGTTAATTCATTAAAATTATTAGTTTTCACCCACAAATACCTTCGTTAATTATAACACTCATCAACTGTAGTGAAGTAATATCTTAATTAAAACAATACGAGCAGGCATGAACGTTATTGATGAGAGTAAATGACCGTACGTTAACCTGTTAATAAGGAATAATCCATGGTTTCATGGTGCCAATGAAAATGATAATATTGGACCTTGAATACATGGCAGTTTGAATGATGGATGATGGTATAATGATGTAAGGATATAATAGGTCGTGGTAAAACAAGCATGTGTATTGACATTCTGATGTGTTGCTCACTCTTTGCTGTGGTGCATGAATGTTTTTCCTCCAATGTTGTCAGACAAGCCTCAGATGGAATCGCTACTGTAGCGTTGTCACTTCCCTCCAGTGTTGTCAGACAAGTCTCAGATGAAATCGCTACTGTAGCGTTGACACTTCTTCAAGTGTTGTCACTCAAGTCTCAGATGGAATCGCTACTGTAGCGTTGACACTTCCTCCAGTGTTGTCACTCAAGTCTCAGATGGAATCGCTACTGTAGCGTTGACACTTCCTCCAGTGTTGTCAGAAAAGTCTCAGATGGAGTTGTAACTGTAGCGTTGACACTTCCTCCAGTGTTGTCACTCAAGTCTCAGATGGAATCGCTACTGTAGCGTCGACACTTCCTCCAGTGTTGTCAGACAAGTCTCAGATAGAATCGCTACTGTAGCGTTGACACTTCCTCCAGTGTTGACAGACAAGTCTCAGATGGAATCGCTACTGTAGCGTTGACACTTCCCTCGAGTGTTGTCAGACAAGTCTCAGATGGAGTTGTAATTGTAGCGTTGACACTTCCTCCAGTGTTGTCAGAAAAGTCTCAGATGGAGTTGTAACTGTAGCGTTGACACTTACTCCAGTGTTGTCAGACAAGTCTCAGATGGAGTTGTAATTGTAGCGTTGACACTTCCTCCAGTGTTGTCAGACAAGCCTCAGATGGAATCGCTACTGTAGCGTTGACACTTCCCTCGAGTGTTGTCAGACAAGTCTCAGATTGAATCGCTACTGTAGCGTTGACACTTCCCTCGAGTGTTGTCAGACAAGTCTCAGATTGAATCGCTACTGTAGCGTTGACACTTCCCTCGAGGGTTGTCAGACAAGTCTCAGATGGAGTTGTAACTGTAGCGTTGACACTTACTCCAGTGTTGTCAGACAAGTCTCAGATGGAGTTGTAATTGTAGCGTTGACACTTCCTCCAGTGTTGTCAGAAAAGTCTCAGATGGAGTTGTAACTGTAGCGTTGACACTTACTCCAGTGTTGTCAGACAAGTCTCAGATGGAGTCGCTACTGTAGCGT